GTAACACACACTTTCCATAGACGAATCAGGGATTTCAAGGGGGGGGGGGGGTAGTAAAAAAAATTAAGTGACAATAGAAACTCATAATACTTGTTATTAAATTAAGTGTTAAAGCATAAGTTTTATCAAAACTTTCTTTTATATTGAATATTTTCCCCCTTTTCCTTTTTTGAAAGGGGTGACCCCCCCCCCCCCGGATAATATGCCACTGTCTTCAAGACTGCATATATATATAACCCATTGACACTGCTGACTTGCTGACTTATAGACTAACCGGTTGCCAATATATTTTTCATAAGTTCAAGTATCTGCTAGACTTCTTTTTACCAATAGAAGTAATAAAAATGCAAAGAAAAATCGTATGTCTTATTGTTATACAAATACATGTACATATATTTCACAATACATTTTGTTCATTTTTGAAAATCAAAGGTTAGTTTTCCATGAAATGTTGTTCTCGTACATTGAAGGTAAACGACGATCGAATTATCTATACCCCCATAAACCTTCAAGTTCCGGCCGAGGAGACCTGGTTTGCACAGAAATGTTAGAAAACGCGTGAATGCGGCGAACGTATGGCAAGATTCAACCTGATTTGATTTTATTTCAATAAATGACAGCTTCCGATGTCTGAAAAAAGTCCGAATTTGGCGAGAAATTCTCGCTATTAGTCAGAAAGTGCCCCTAAGCGGAATCCAACATGGAGGCTAGTTTCATGCCTTGTTATGTTTATAGTATAGTAGATATATATTTTTTAACAATTAAGCAGGGGAGTGCCTATGATCATTTCATGTCATGGTGTTTCACAGCCGAAATTCATTAGCGATTGAATGCTTACTAACGCTGGTTTAAATTTCGCCGGTTTCAAACGCTTAAGTGATTCATAAGAGTTATCTCCCTGTAATCGCAAACCTTACCTTAAGGCATAAGGTTGAGATACATCGTCTTTACTTTTAAAACATGAACTAACCCTCCGTAACCTGGTAACCGAGACACGTTGTGGGCGCCTTTTGTTTCCAACAAACACTTGAAAATCAGTCGTTCTGATAAAAACGGATTTTCATGGAATTCTTTTTTATAAAAGTTGATAAACATAAAAAAAAAATATTGGAATGATCTTATGAAAAAAACTTTCCAGTCGGCGCGTTTTAATTGGGTCGGTCGCGTTAGGGGAAACAAAGGTATTTTTTATTTTGGCCTTATAAGCAATAATTACCTATAAAAAAAACTCCAAAGAGTGTGTTTTTATGTTTGCGTTATTACATTTTGCGTCGAGTTCAACGCAGAATGTGATTATCGAAAAAAAGTTTTATTACATTTCGTATTATTATTAAATTATGCGTTGACCTTGACGCAAAATGTAATAATGCAAACTGTAATAATTCCAGTTTATCATATTTTGCTTTGTTACAGTTGTACCATCGCATTACGTCATCACACTATCGACCCAAACCTCGATGGTGCGATAGTAAATTATACATGGCCTATCCGGATTCCATATCACGTGATTCACTGTCGCATACCGACTATTGGGTCGATGGCGCAATGACACGATGATAATGATGATGCAACGGTGCGATATCGCGATGATGATTAAGCGACGGCGCGATAATATGATGACAGTAGTCATGGATGAATGTCGCGTAATTGTCATCGCCGTCGAATCATCGGGTCATCGTTCCATTGCACCAGTGTCATTGCACTATCACTAATCGTCATTGCATCAACACCATCTTTGCATGATCGCGTCATCGACCCAAACGGTGATAGAGCGATAGAAAACTACGTATTCAACGCGATGACGCTATAATGCTATGACGATGCTGCGATAGGACAATGAACTGGTAGCGAGAATCACTTCGTCATCATCGCACCATCGTCATTATCATCCGCGTTATCACTAACGTATTATTGCGTTGTCGCACTACCGTGCAATTGCACGATCGTCATAGCATTATCGCCATCTTATCACGGTAAATACAGTCAATGCACCATATCTCGAACCCAATAGATATGACGGAACTAAAAGTTTCTTGAAATTATACCAAAGATTCGAGAGAATGGAACTGGAGTCATTAATTGATGAAAAGGGCAGGACCAGAAACTCGAAATCTTTGGCATACATGCATTCCTGTTTTTTCCTAAATATTCGAGTCCGAGATATCAAAGTTCAACTGTAATCAGAACATGCAGTTTGTTAAGACCATCTTTAAAAAATTGTTTGTTTGCCCTCTCCCGACCGACTGACTAAAAAAGGCCCGACTCAAAACTTTTTTTAACCTCCAGAAAATGATAACTTTTTTTCTTTTAATTCCTGGATTTTTTCTTATCCTGTAAACGTGTATTTTGAAATTTTCTGGGAAAAAACCACATCTACCTTCCAAACCAATTTTTTTAACCTGCAAGCAAACATTACTTTAAAGATGGCCTAAGTATTTACCCTTTCGAATAACAGAAGGACGAGCTGCAATAGGTTTAGCACTTTCAACGATTGGACGATTTTCGTTGGTCTTAATTCCTTGTACAGTATTCAAGTTACTAGGAGATAAAACGTTCTCTTGTGTTGGAACAAGATTGTCGCTTACAACCACACTGGAATCAAAAACTTTTGTCTCTTGTGTATAAAGAGTTCTTTGACAATCCATTCGCTGTTTTCGGAAAGCGTTTTGAAGAAAGGTAATTCGATTATTCTGAGAATGAACAGTTTTGCTCAGCTTGCTGATGAGCTGTCGAAGCTCAAGAACTTCTTCATGTACTTCACTCGCTGTCATCTCACAGTGTCCTTCCTTTAGAATGTTGAAGATGAGAAAAAAGAATACAACGAGAAATGTCTCCCGTGCAATCATGGTGTCTATTATCTCTGTTATCTACAATGTACATTCTTTACAATAAGGCTTGCTTTACTAACATTTTGACCCAATTTTGTGAATTTACGATACACGTAACTGTATAACGAAAATTAAACTTTTAGAATTCTATCAAGGGTTTCTTTTTCTTAAAAAAAAAATTAAAAAATTAAATTAAAAAAATGAAATAAGCGATCTCCATGACTCTTGAAATCGGTATTCGTCCCGTAATCATATCATCGTGCATCTCCACATTATAAGGGATCGAAATGTTTGGAAAATATACCACTTGCACTGGCGGATTTGGAGGGGGCAGGGTGCCCCCCCCCCCCAAAAAAAAAATTTTGTGAGCAAACATATACACAAGATTAATAAATATTTTTGTGTGGTGGATATTAAATCAATTCAACCAAAAAATAACTAAGATAAGTCGAAAAACTGTTCAAATAAAAAAAATCCTAAAAACCTGAGAGCTTTCAGCGCTTCACCCCCTGAACCCCCCCCCCCCCCTTTTTCAAGAATTCAGGATCCGCCATTGACTTAACTACCACTACCCATAATTAAAAAGATACCCTTCATGACAAAAAAAAAACCGCGATACCAAAAGAGTAAATAAGAATATAGTATACTGGGATTATGGTAATAGAATAATGGTTGATACATTGATCCTCTGAAAAGAGAGATAACTCTCACTGGTATAAATGATTATTATTCCTATATAAAATTGTCAAATAAAAAGGCCATTTAATATGTCAAAATTTTGCCCAGCAGTTATATACTGAAATGGTATTCATTTGATACATTTTGATAATAAATTATATTTCTTTTGGAAAATCATCAACACTGAAGTAGATTTTATATAAATCAACATACATGTAGGTACAATGAACCTCAATATTCAATATTTACATAAAAATAAATCACCATAAAATTGTCAGACTTTGTGCGAGTATGAATATGATAAACGACATACATGTAAAACGTGATAATTAACATAAACGGTGAAGGAATAAACCCAGATTTTATGGGTATATGTCTGTTTATCATCAATAGAATGTGAACATCACGTGGTCCCATTTCAATTTTTACTTCACCAAAATTTATTTCAAAAAGCTGCTCGACACTGAACTTTTTTATAGTTTGAACTATTAGGCCAAATCTGGATGATTGAATACTGACATTCTCTTGAATTGTGGAATATTATTGATTTTATGACCTCCCCCCCCCCCCCCCTTCAGCACACAGATTCTTATATTTTATTTCTTTTCATCTGAATGATGCACATCAATGACTACATTATATTTTCTGAACAATGTATGTAGCTCTCTGTTTGATATATACATGAATGCATGAATGTAGTCATCAAATTATATACATGTACAACTGCTGCTTATGATAAACAGATTTATATATATATATATATATATATCCATAACAAATGTAGTAAATCCCTGTCAGCCAATTTCTCAAAACTGATAATAAAAAATGAAAATTGAACAAATAACTTGGTAAATTGAAGACAAAGACTGGGAGAGTATGTAACATAAATAGATTTAATCCCCAATTTGCAATTTTGTAAAACAAAAAAATATTTTTAACAAAGGAGGAACATCCAAACATCACTGCATGTGCATGATTTTGATATAAAGCTGCCTAAGCAACATACTAGCATTCTTTTAGAATATAATTTGATGGAAACCTTGATTTTAAAAAGACTGATTAAAACTAAAACATATTTATACATGTAAATATACAGTACATACATGTATTTTTATTGATCAGCTGTTTCTTGAACTTGTTTCTTGAACTCTACATAACATTATATGTAAAAAAAAAAAAGCATTCATAACAACAAGACTGCATGCAGTCTAAACATGTACATGAGAAATTCCACATAATAGTTGGCCATCCAGCCCTGAATCCCATGTACAGTTTCTGTCTTCAGAAAACAATTTATCTGCTCTCTGTCATTTCTCACAATGATAATCAACATCTGGCAGGTTTTTTTTTAATGAGATATCTATCATATTCAACTCTAGATGTGCCAATGATTGCATTTCTTACAGTATGTCTTTATAAGTCTTTTACAAATTCTAAGAAGAATTCTGGTCATAAGCATCATATCACATTTTTTCACTGGCTCCAGGTACTCTTCCTGATAGAAACTCAACTCATTAACTTATTATTTGAACTCTCCTCAGGTTCCAAACTTTTTCTGTTGTAGAGCCATTGGAAGTGATTCCATCATGGCTAATTTAGTCCTTTCCACCATGACCACCCAATCATCTTTGACAAAGTCCATATGAATTAGGTACTGCAAAAGCATCGGAAATTTTAGAATATTAATAGAAAGTAATTGTACAGTCAAGAGTACAGTCTAAAATATCCAACAGCTTCAGAAAAAACTTACACGAAATCTTGTACAGACATGAAAGGCTGTCACTTTTGAAGAATTTGGTCTAGCCACCAGGTCAAAAGGTTTTGTTTTTCTGTCTGGGAACGGCTGTAATAATAAAACAATTTTTGCATTTTTAATGAATTTTTTGAAAAGGTTACAATCCATTTTCTCCCATTCATTTATGACTTCATCCTTGTACATGTACAATATTCACACAAGAGTAAACAAAATTGTGAAATTTGGGTAACATATGAATCGAGGCTTCATTTACCTGAGTTTTATCTAGGATGAAAAACTTGTCCAGGTCACAAAAGAATATTTTATCAGGGTAACGTGGTGAGGTAGATATACAGAAGATCTTTTGGTGCCGCCGCGTCCAAGCATCCGGGAAACTGTTACACACTTCTCGGCACCAGTCACTATATTCCCTTTTATGGATGTCAAACTCGTAAATCTGTACAGAAAAAATCCAAATATTAGAATTTGTAATAATTTTCAGATTTGGGTGCAGAATTTGTCACAGTTTTTAATGTGTGAGCAGTATCACCAATCCTCCATGGAGTGATCTTGAGGTTTGAGAAATGATCAAGGTTTAAACTACGGGATCAAAGTTTTTACATGAAAATATAAAAGTTAAAAAAAAATGTTGAAAATCTTTTCAGTAACAGAAGGGCCATGATTACAGTTGTCATTAATCTTTGACAATGAGTTACTAAAGACTGAGTTCATACCAGTCGAGAGATCCAAAGTTATAGCCAAAAACAATTTCGTAACACTTAGGCAGACAGAAAGAAAGGGAGACAGAAGACAACCATTGCAAATACAAATGACTCAATCGTGTAATAATTATGTATAGCTACCTTTTGGTCTGCATGTGCTGTGATCAATTTCCCACTGTCTGACGTAAAGGTCATAGCTGTTACTGTTGACCTATAACTGGGTAATTGGCATACAACCTGTTATAAGTAAATTCCTGAATTTAATAAGAATTTCGAAATGCAATTTTTAAAAAAAATTTCTAGTTATATTTCCTGAAACTTAATGAACAGTCTAACTTCTAGCTGCAATATTGTAACCCTCTCCGATAATTTTTATCTGATGTTTTCAGGAGAGGCCTCTCCCCCCCCCCCCCCCCCCCCCCAAAAAAAAAAAAATTGGAGAGGGCTACATTATTGCAGCTACCTACATGTAACTTCCACCGCATTTTCACAATAGAATAGCCCTAAAATTAAGCATATTTTGTTTTATTAAAAAGATGAATTCTATAATATCTACCTCTTTAGACTCCAGTCCTATCACAGATACTTTGTAAGACAGGTCTGCCACGGCCACCAGCTTGCTGTCTGGACTCGCACTTAGTAGATGAATAGACTCCTCTGATAATGTAAGTAAACATATAGTGATCATACAGAGGTTTTTAAATATTGGTTGTTTAGGAAAATGTATTAAGTCAGAGAGGTCACACATTGATTACTCCTTGTACAAAACATCATAAATGCAGCACATTGTAAATTAATCCTTCAATTATAATGGGACATTATATGCTGACAAATTTCAATTATACATTTAAACTTTAAAACTTCATACCTGTGAAATCCTCCCAGCTGTGGTATATAGACACTGAATCTTCTTCCAGGGAGATAACTACAATTTTTTGACATGATGTGGCTATAACTAAAAACTTTTCATCAGCTGTGAAAACGAGGCGATGGGCAGAGAAAGGGGGAAGGGATTTCTTTATCTTCTTCATGCTGACTGCAGGGCTGATTGACTCTGAGTCATCCTACCAAAAAAAAAAAAATATTTCTTCAAACACAAAATATTTCACATACATTCAAACCCCCTGCACTGCACTAGCAAGAAGTTCACAACTCTCAAAAGTTCACTCAAGTATATTTCAAGTCTAACAAATGTACATATACAGTTAATATGCTTATGCTCAGTGAGATAATAACAAGATAATAGATCTTCAAAGACATTTGATGACAACAGAATGAGTATTTACCATCTCTATTTTGTACAGTTTGACTCCATCAATATCCGAGTATGATATCCAGTTAGCCCTGGAACTTATTGCACTACAGGAGATATGTTGTCCATCTTTAGTTTTCAGCTGGATTAGTTTCTGAGGGGAAACTTCCTCTGGAAGCATTTCACCATCTTTATCTACAAGATGCATCTAGATTTAACCAATATCATTTAATGGCTTTGTAGCATTGTATAGTAGTATTTCAATAAATCTGGGATTCAAACTTACACATACATAAATGTATAATACAATATGACACTTCAAACATTACAATACACTTTAATTACCATGTAATTTTTTTTTTCATTTTTGGAAGTGTCCTGCGGCACACTAAATCAAAATTGTATACTAGCTGCTATAATTTCATTGCCTATCTGATAAGGGAGATATTCTCACTGAAATAAATGGCTGTTCCTGTCAAGACCATTTCTTCTAAAATATGCATAGCAAGGTATGTTGAAATTGGGTGCCTTTTAAATTACATTTCTTTTAAAGTAAAATTTTAGATCAGTGAACAGAGGGCTTGTAAACCTGAGAGCTATCTACGCAATGTCAAGTTAAGAAACGGTCATTTAACCTTTGTAAAAGCATATTTAGGAAATCAGTACACTATGCATGTTTATGACTGCCAAGCAGCACACGTTCTTTACCTGAAGTTTTCCTAGTGTTTCCTAGTCTCCAAAGCTCTAGATAATCAGGATACTGTAGCAGGAGGGCATTTCTGTCTTTAGCCACACCCACCAACTGATGCTGTCAACCAATGTATGTTAATCTCAAATATCTTTATGATTATTTTGTTAAGCATCATGTATGTGTGGGTCATATTGTTTATATGTACATGCATATTACAAGGAGTTTAAAGTTCAGTCAGCCAAGGAAGATTATCTACTGTTTAAACTTTATAAGCATTTTTAAAATATATGTCCAAAAGTTCACATTTTTTTCCTTCATCTCTTTTCAGTTCATTAAAAGATTCCCTCAATCTAACTTGAAAAATAAATGCAACTTGTTTTTTACTATGATATTCAGTACAAGAAATAATTTACCATAGTTATAGCTCGGATTTTTTGCTTATTTTTCTCCTTCCCAAGTCGATTCAGCTGCAGATTTGTATCTACTCCTAAGAAATCACAATTAAATCAGTAAGAAAACACATACATGTACAATGTAGATCTATTGTCAATAGTAAGATTCAAATAACATTCATCTGTAAAAGGTGTACAATGTTCAAAGTACATGAAGAACACTAATCAATTTCAGAAGGAAGTCCTGATTTTTCCACTGCAATCCTAAGAATTGAATACATGTATAGGGACCTACCCCCAGACACTATATCCCTCCCTGTGATGGCCAGTGCCCTCACGTCGTGTGTGTGTTGATACCACACGGAGGTTCTGACCCACATATTCCAGTCACTCTCCTGACTGGTGGTGGTGTACTGAAATTGCACCACTTTTGGATCCACTCCTGAGGAGAATACTTGTTTTTCATTCTGAAACATATGCATACATTGACTATTTTCACATGTATGACATTTTAGAATGGACAACATTGGCATGGAAAAGATAATTTTTTATAAATATCTCAACAAAATAAATGATTGTGACAAGTACTAAAAGGTTATTTATAATCTTTACTAAAGAAAAAAAAATCAAACATTTTATGGATATGTACATGTATTTATATCTAAATTTATTTTTCTGACAGATAAAAAAATACAAAATAAGTTCAAGACTGTACCTCATGAACTGCTAAACACAAGACATCTGCTTGGTGATTTTGAAAACTCTACAGAAAAAAAGAATAAATGAATAAACATGTACTACGTGTTCTAACCATTATGTATATTGTTAAAATACTATGTAGATTTTTCTTTAATAAATCAAATTATCATTATACTGGTTGTAATATTTTCTGTGCATCAGCAACATTGCCTATTGGTCATATATGCACTGAATGTCTATATGCAATGAAAAGTCTCTAATAAATCTGAGTGGGTACTACATGTATTAAATACTGAAAGAAACAAAAGAAACTGAACCTTTATCTGTGTTCCTTGTTTGCCATTCCAGAAGATAGTTCTACCTCTCGAGTCTCCACTGACTAAAGTCATATCACTAAAAATATGAGGTGTATTGGTTACTGTAAACGTAAACATTTAGCGGTGTATTCTTTTTAGTGCCTTTCTGTTCAATCAAGTACATCGCTAAATGTCTGGAATGTCTAGCACATTCAGATGTGCACTCAATCAAATTTATTTTAACTTGTTGAAAAGTCAATTTCTGCTAAATATTGTAGTACAATATTTAGCAGAAATTGTAACAATAATTGTACATGCTTAATAGAGTACATTTTCCATATTCAAAAATGCATTGTATATTAGCCAATCTTTGTTCATGAAAAAGGTGAAAACATGTAATGCATTACAATAATCATTAATGCTTCTTTTGTTCTTAAATCTTTTTTTAAAAGGGGCATTTTTTTTTTTACAAATGAAAAAAGTATATTTTTCTACATGTGGTATATTTACTTTTTGAAAACAAAAACAAAAAAGCTGACCAGCAATCAACATTAAGAAAACCAAAACCACATATTCTTAACTTGAAAACACTGCAATGGATTTGAGTGGACATCTAAAGAAGCATTTAGATCTCAAACTCATTGTCTAATAATGCAAGAAGTAGAGTTTTATGCAGTCTTTATGTTCAGGGACAATTTTTATGAACATACCTAAGGATGGCCACACACCACACAATAGTCTCCTTGTTTTTCTCCACCCTCCCTAGAGTCATTCTCTGAACAGCATGACCAGATTTCACACTCCAGAGTCTCATATTATCCACCCCTCCAGTCAAAATCACCTCTAGACTGGTGTTCCAAGCAATGGATAAAATTCGACCTGAGAGGGAAAAGATGAAGATTGGTATATATATAACAGAACTGAAATCTGCATATTTGAAGTATATAATTAATAATAAATTTTAAACAAAGAACTTGGATAGAGAAATAATCATCTTTATGTTTTTGCTTTCTTTTCATTTCCATTCAAGTTATCCTTCCAATAAGAAGTTCTGATGAATGAAATTTTTATTTTTTTCAGATTCTTAACAAAACACACAATTGTCTCATCTAGAATATAAGCATGAGTACATGTGCATGAAAATCTTTATTTATTTATGGTCTCTTCAGGGCAGAAATGTTTAATTTACCTTCCTGTTTATCAAAAGATCTGTAATATTGTAGAGAGTTGTAATCTGTGTCAAATAAAACAATGCAGCCCTCCTCTGTACCAGCCTACAGAAGAATTAAAACATCACAGTGAAACCAAAACTTTTGATCACATTCTTTAAGGAAAAAAAATACATGTATGGTGGAAAGGTGTCATACCCTTTAATGGTGCCAGAGAAATTTACAGCTGTTAAACTTAGTGTTTGTCATAAATAAGATTCTGCATTATAATGATACAATTACAAATATTTTCAGAGATATGTCCCTTTCTTTTTTGCATTGAAATGATGAAAGTTAACGACATTGGAAATGATTAATAATTTTAGATTACAGATATGAATAAAAATTTAATCATTCTCACAGCCAGAAATTTTCCATTTGAGTCTGTGGTCAAACACCAAACTGGGCCAGCATTGGATGAAGCTGTGGCCTAAAAACACAACAATCAGAAAGACAACTTTAAAAAAATGAAACATATGGTGTTTAAAAAACTTAAATCACATATTTTCTGTTTGGTTTGAAGAAACATTTATATATTAAAAAAACACCATCTGAGTGAAATTTTTGTCTTGATACCTTGGGTTCTAGTTTCTTGAGATCATATTCCACCACATCTCCATCCAGACCTGCTGAGTACAGTCTCTTTCCTTGCCAGCACAAGGTCTCTATAGACTTAGATTCACTTCCTGGTATAATCTACAAATATACATAATAATAATTCACATTAATAAATCAGAGGATATATTCAAAAGATAAGATATCGGTACGTCTGACATTCATTAAGATATCAAAGTTTTTGTGCACTATCACTGATTTATACATTGCATATACATGTATTTCAGTTAGTTCTATTAACTTACAGAAACTACTTGATCAAAATATATCTAAACATATAACTGGGACATAAACCTACCTTTTCTTGATACCAGTCATTGGCTACATCCCATATTTCAATACAACCATCAGACCTATATTATTGTGAAAAACATATAATTCCAAATTAGAATTCAAAATACAGAAATTCTATTCTATATGTCAGTTGGATAACACAAATAAAAATATGTACGCTTTTAAAGGGTTTTGACTTTCTGTAGACCATTTCTTTAGAATGATTCTGTTCCTTTTATATAAGCACAAAGAAAACGATAAAGTCTGTTATCCTTTGTGAAACATGTTTGTTTTCTGATTTTGAAATTGTACCAATAGAATATAATAATTATTTATCCAATGCAAAGGCTTTAAGATCACTTTAATCTGACTTACAAAAATTTTGGGGTGTGAAAAAGAGATAAAGTTATGGAACTCCTTAAATAGGGGACCCTATGTAAGGAGTTCCATATCTTTATTATTATTATTATTATTATTATTATTATTTTTGTAAGATAGATTAAAGTGATCTAAAGGCCTGTGATCCAATGGTGGATCTATTTTTTCTTTCAGACTCTGAGAGACAGAGAAAAGAGGGATACCACAAGTGACAAACGTTTTTACCTTGATAAGGCAACCTTATTTACTTCTTTTCCATATACAATGGACTGAATAGCCTTAGGTTGATACTCAAAAAATCGGACTCTGTGTACCCTAAATTCGCCCATGACTGCAAAAACACAAGCATGTAAATATCATTTAATTTATATTGCTTTTTATTATGTATACGTATAGACGAATAGTACAAAAATAGCGTACTGTATGAAACAAGCAGCTGTGCAATAAGTCTACATCGTATGTTGTCTGACTCTAATGTATATGGTCAATCGGTGGTTAATGCAAATTCTTTGAAAAAATATGAAATTACCACTATATATGACAAAATACGTTTGAAAAGCACTAACCTGTTTTATATTATGACCTTTCATAGACTTGTTTGATATGACATGTCTCAATCTTTAATAAAATACAGCAATTAAAAACGCCAAGCACATGTTCTCTTCACAAGGCTGCCATATTGGATTTTTTATAAGGCGTGCATACAATATATTTAGCAAAGATAGTTAAGAATATAACATTCAAGCTATATCTTGGAGATGCACTCTCTAGAAATTATTATGAAAAGTTTTTGATAAATTTTATGAGTATAATACTTTGTATTATACTGGATAATATGTGTAACAAAACAGAGAGAAACAAATACGAACAAGTTGGTTAGTAGGCTCCCATACCTTAGTTTCGAACCTTCAAAGAATACTTTGTGCAATAGCAATATTTGAATTTTTAAGCAGTGCAATTTAAAAATATATAGTAAAATTATATTCCTTTTTGAGCAGATATGAACTACCGTGTGATAAATACGAAAACATTCAACAACAAGTATGGCGCCCGGGAAGCACAGCGTGCAGAGAAATTTCAGAATAGAAACAAAATTTTATGTTTAGTTTCAACTTTTCATCATTTACAATATTTGAATCACATCTAATGATTTAAGGAATCAATAGTCGGTGAGTTTCTCTAAGTTCTATTTAGTATTTAATTTAAAGAGAAGCATTTGTTGATGTTTTACAGAAAAATTAACAGCTGAAAATTTAAAGTTTGTGAGCTAAATCAGCAGAAGAATTGGTGAATAGATTCTCTTTCTTTGTTGATTTTACATATCTCTTCCATCCACATCTACATACTTTCTTTCCAGGCAGGAAAATGTATTCCATATTTAAGCAGACCCATCCCCCAACTGGAATAGAGCATTGTGTGTATTGTAATTTTTTCAATACATCAGAAAGAAATTTGGTGATTGCAGCAGTAAATAAGCTGTATGTGTACAGATTAAATCCAGATCCAGAGGTAAAAATACATTCATAATGGATAATATGTATTTAGCAGGTCTGGTAGAATCACTACATTTAGCTAGGTAGCTTGCGTTGTTTACGTAGGTAGCTTGCGTTGTTTACTTATAATAGCTTTATTTAGCTTCTTTGTAGTTAAAGAAAGCTAGTAGGTAATTTATGCTACGTAGTTAACTGTAGTGATTGTACTGGACCTATTTAGAACCTAGAATGTGATTGGATATAATTTGTATAAAATCATATTAAATGATTTACATTTGTAATAGATGACTTTCATATTCCTAAGAGTTATCTCTCTTTGTTGGTGTAACACTCATTTTTTATGCCCGCCATGAATATGGCCGGGGCTTATAGTGTTTGTCATGTCCATCTTCTGTCCTTCCATCACACTTTGCGTTTAGCTCTGTTCAAAGCCCAGTTTCAAAGAAACTATCCAAGATATTTTTATCAAACTTCAAATGCTGATAGATATTGATGAGAGCTATATAACTGCATCAACATTTTTGGACCTTGACCTTTCCTTTGACCTTGACCTTACTTTTCTTAAATTAGTGTTTAGCTCAGTTTTAAAGATACCATTCAAGATAGTGTAATCAAACTTCATATGTTGATACATACTGATGTAAGCTATTCAACTGCATCAACATTTTTTGACCTTGACCTTTCTTTTGACCTTGACCTCACTTTTCTTAAATTAGTGTTTATTTCATTTTTAATGAAACCATTCAAGATATTTTTAACAAACTTCATATGCTGATTCATACTGATGAGAGCTATTCAACTGCATCAATATTTATTACCTTGACCTTTCCTTTGACCTTGACCTCACTTTTCTTAAATAAGTGTTTAGCTCAATTTTAAAGAAAAGCATTCAAGATAGTGTTAACAAACTTCATATGCTGATACAAACTGATGAGAGCTATTCAACTGCATCAACATTTTTGACCTTGTCCTTTCCTTTGACCTTGACCTCACTTTTCTTAATTTAGTGTCAAACTTCATATGCTGAAACATACTGATGAGAGGTATTCAACTGCATCAATATTTTTTCACCTTGACCTTTCCTTTGACCTTGACCTCACTTTTGTCAATTTGTGTTTAACTCAGTTTTAAATAAACCATTCATAATATTTTTATCAAACTTCATATGCTAATACATACTTATGTAACCTTTTCAAATGCATCAGCAATTTTTTTACCTTGACCTTTCCTTTGACCTTAACTTCATTTATTTTGAGTTAGTGTTTAGCTCAGTTTTAAATAAACCATTCAAAATATTTTTATCAATCTTAATATGCTGAATATACCATAAGTTTTGGAAGATAAGACGATACTTTTTTTCTCAGAACCGCTGGGGTCGTCCTATTTAATGAATCGACCTATCTAAGGCTCAAGTTTACGAAAAATGCCTCCAAATCAGTAAAATTAACGTCAATTTTAAAGCAATTCTGTGCCATTTTAGTATTTTTTAAAATTAATTTACCGAGAAAAAAATAATAAACAATAAAGAATTGAATATTTATTCCATCGATTTCTTACAAAATAAGTTCCATTAAATATCTGTCGATGTACAAAAAAACTTATTACTGGTATATCATGTAGTAATTAATGTCTCAAAGTATATTTACAACATGCTGTGTCCATCTTGTGATGTTGGAAGTCGCAATCGTTTACTAAAAAGAAAACCGCAGCCGTATCAAAATTTAAAATACGGAAGAATTTTCACAATCGCAATTGTAATCTTTTTTTACCATTTATTTGTAACGATTAATTGAAATAGTATGCCTAAATATTTGTTCATTGTCTTGTGATATTTATTTAAATGTAAAATGCGTGAAGTAAATTGTTGCCAGTAAATTCCTAAATTTATTTACCAAATATACCGCTAGTAATAACTATTTTGTTTTATATCTTAATTAATTATAATAAAACGAACTTATCTTGAATATACTATTATACGTTTTTGGAAGTTATAAATTCATTTATTCACGATACGTTATTTTTTTATTCACAGTTTTTTTTTTTTTTTTTTTGTTTTTTTTTTTTGTTTTACAAAATAAATATTTTTTAAATGATAGAAATGATAGCTTCCTCGTACCCAAGGGGTACACTGAATTATACAAAGATTGGCTTCTAATAGAATTTTAATTGTCTGACAGATAAAGGGATATACACTATGTACACAAAGGTGTTAACACCTGTGTTGGTTAAAACACCTGCGGGGCATGATTAAAGATCCACGTGCCGTTACAGGGGTATTAGTGCTATACATCATTAAACAAACAAAAATGTGAAATTCTTGATAACTGTTAAATTGCGAATGTGCTCTCAATTAAATTTATTTTTTACAACAATATCTCATGCAAAATTATCGCATGTTAATATGATTAGTCATTTGCGTGTTTTAGCAAATCCCTGGACAAGAAAGTATAAAAATGGCGGTCATCGAAGTTAATTTTTTACCCTGGTAAATAATGTCGGAATAAAAGAATGTTCTAAAATGGAAATGATAATTGTTTGATTTCGGGTATTTCCCTAATTATAGCTGTTTTATACTACCGTATTTATGTGTTTAACGACAGAGTCAAACTACGACGGCATTGAACATGTAAGTTGGAGAAAATACGTTATATCACAATTCAAGGAAGTTTTAACTACGTTTGCATAAAACACTATTAAAATACTGTACTCATAAAAATACTAGTTTATTTTCTCAATATGTTAATATCACGGGTTACGTTAAAGAGGTTTACATATTCTGATACGTAGTATCCACGTAAGAGATTCTAGAAATCGATAAACAAAGCCTCGTCCTATATTCCAAATTCGTCCTATCTAAGGATTTTTAAAAAATTACGGCTGAAAATGAGCCTTTCGACCTATACACCCCATCGACATATACCCCAAAACTTACAGTACATATTTATGAGAACTATTCAACTGCATCAAAAATGTTTGACCTTGAACTTTTCTGGGACCTTGACCTCATTTTTCTTACATTTGCATTTTGCTTAAATATAAAGAAACAATTTAAGATTATGTAAGCTTATGCACTTATACATAATTTGGTGAGAATTTATCATCTATATCCAACTTTTTAGATTTCAATTTCAATTTTAAAGAAACTATTCAAGATATTCTCATCAAATTTCATACACTAATACAAATTTTCATGTTGCTTAACTAGTATACCCTCAGCGGGGCATTCATGTCCTATGGACATATTTCTATTTTTTTTTTTACTATATCCTTTGTTACTTACCTGTTGATATTTTAAATCTTCAAGCGCTTTTAGGCTATTTTGTACCATTCCTGTATTGCCATAATTTGGGGCATAAAAGAAAACCTAATGAACATGAACATACAGATTTAATTTTTTATGACACTGTCCTATAAAGATAGTAATATTATTGAGGGAAAACTGGGTTACTCTGATTAACCCCAGATTGACCCTGCAAAGGGAAATAACTTTTGTTAATGTGAAAGTTGTCTCTTACAAGCATGGGAAATTCTTTTTTATCATGTTTTTATCTTATTTTAATGATTTTTACTTTTTGTTCTCTTTACTGTCAGCTGACTTATGCTGCATACTAACATAAAGGGATGTGTAAGGATATGATAAAAATGTATTTGTTAAATATTAAGATTTTTAAATCTCAGGGCTTAGTGACTCCATTTTTTTTATTCATAGGATGAAAATAATGAGAAAGATGAACCAAGGAAACCAGGTAAAATATTTACTTTGACTGAAAGAGGAATATTTGAATAGCAACTTTCATTCTCAAATGCAGTTAGATATATACAACTTTAATATTAAATTCTGACTTTACAGATTACAAACAGAAACAAAAAATGGAGTGTCTCGCAACGTTCACTTTGTTTGGAAACATCATGTCCATGAAGTTTGTGAAGCTACCTGGAGCTCTCCGAGATTCTCTGCTGCTGAGCTTCTGTGATGCAAAGGTAAGGCACATTATCAAATTCTGAAAAAAAAAATGTTTTGTTGGATTGTATACGATTATTTGCCTCTTGTGATATTTCAATGGGAATTTAATAGATAATATAACAAAGCAAAACATGTAATGTTTTAAACTGTTAACATGCCATTTTTGTTATGCTTGTTTGTTTAGACAAATACAGAGAGGATAAGTACATGTATCTTTAATTA